AACCTGTTATAGTACATACACTCTGTCTCACTTCAAAAAGCTGATTCTCCGGCATCTTCGTGGTGTAGATTAATATGATATTTTTCTTTTTTCTTTTTAATTTATTTTTACTCCTATTTTTTCGCCCCCTAGGGGACCTAGGGGGCGATGACCTGTGTCCGGGTGGACTATTCCGCGTAAAAAGGTTCCCCGCCCCCACAAATTCGCAGGTTTAGGCTAAATCGCCATCGGATATAAGTAAATCATACATATCTTTGCTCTGTGTATCTAGCCTTAGTATTATTGATTAAGTGAACCAGGATCTCAATGCAAATATTGCCTTCGGTTAGACTTTCCACCTTTAATTCTACGCTGGTAGGAAATAAACTACAGTATCAGTGTTTCTACAGCAGGTGTGTAAAGAATTCCATGTAAGAAATCCTGGTGTCAAATGTGTTATCTGCAGGGATGGATTAACCATAAGGCTAATAAGGTTGTAGCCTTAGGCCCTCAATGAGTAGTATGGATTTTAAATTGTTTCGTTATTATGAGGTGGATAAGCAGGTCTAAAAGAACAATATGTTTTTATATTCACCGGGTAAGAGTTAGTTTACAAAGCGGTTTAAATGGTGCATTTTCAGTCCTGTTACAAACTGTATTTGAAGGTGGCTGCTGATAACACGAGGTTAGCAGCAGGGTGGCCTACCACTACCCTCTACTCTTCCATAGCCATCATCTGATCAACCCTCATTCCCTGGTTGCCGCAACCTCATGCGTTAATTAACAGGTCAAAAAACATTCCTCTGATCCCCACCTGCAACAATTATTATACTAAGCTGCTGTTAGCACCTTTCACCAATTATGCAGCTAACACTGACCAACTGGATGATTGTGGTATTCCCAGGTAGCCACATGGCCCAATGGGAAGGCTGCTCAATCCTCACCGGCATAGACAGCTGCCCTGTTTAAGGGCAGCCCAGATTAGAACAAGACACTTCAACTACGCTCTCATCCAGGGACCCATCATGAATCTCCAGTACCTAGACTGCCACCTCTCTCACCGGTTTCCACGTTACTGCGTCACAATACTCACTCCAACTAAGTCCTGACTTTAATCAACCAACTCCTGTTTGTATGTTTTATAATAAAAGTCATTATTGCATCGCGGTGTTTAGCTTTGTCCTTACGAAAGAGAAAGAGAACGCTCACTAGGTCCGTAATTCCTACATAAGTACTGACCAGCACCTTCGTTATCTTTCACCAGATAATAAGGGTCACAGTGTCTCAAGAGGTGATTACCGGCAGAGGCATGCCTTACACCAACTTGGCCACATCATATACATTACATTACTCACCTCTTATTCTATCTTGGCCACATCATGTGTGTTTTTGGTCAAGCACTTACCGAGTTTCAACTCTGTTCACACCTTAAACATGTTTTCTATATTCTTATTGAGCTTGTTCAAGTCTTACTATTCTTTGGTTACTGTGCTGGCTATTAAGAGTTAGGGTTTATATAGTGATGTTTACTGCCTCTTGACCCACACTCTCAGTCTTTGCTTAACACTTCAAAATACTGTATACAATAATGGTCATACACTGATAATTAATAAATAAAAGTTTAGTACTATCAGTGTTTTGGATGATAGAGAGTAAGAGAATTATATCAGAGGGCATAAACACTACCTAAATTCATTGATATTTACGATGGGATAGAAAAATGAGTTTTAATTTCACACGTGTAGAAAGTAACCAATAAAAAGGGTCCACAGGAAGCATTATAATTGTTTGTATGTTATGTAATATATTCTTTATCACTTATGGACATCATGAATCTACCCTCTTGTAACTCTTTGTCCTAAGATCCTTTCAAATAGTTATGTAAGATAATTGAAAACTCTCATTCGCTGCCAATAATTTCTTGCTATTGAAGCTTCAAGTGAGAATAATATATAATATAATCAACGTGATGATGTGTCAGATATAACAAATTTAAGGATATTGAACATTGACTCCTGGACATGTGCAGGCCATCTAGGCCAGTATCGTTGGGTTCACTCAATGGTGGCAACTGTAACAGCGTGGATGATGGAGTGATTTCTCTTGACCCCCGTGTGTCACAATTAATCAGTGAGTTATTTTTAAGTTTACTGTATGTGACTGTGTTTCATTGTAACTATTTTTAGTTTTAATTGTGCTCACAACATGGTTACATAACAGGAAATGAACATCTGCATTCTGTGTTATATCACATATGCACAGCCCCCAAGGGGTAACAAAATATCTAGGACGTTATACTTCGTGACTTGTTACAAACCACTCTGAATGTAGTTATAAAAACATTTGGTAGAAGTATTTTATTAGGTGATGTCTTCTGCCAAACGACTAAAGTAGAGCAATACATATAGGTGGTAGACCCAAGTGACCCTAAACCTTAGTGGCTGCGCAGTATTTACTGATTAGATCTTCACTTGTTACTAACCTGCATACTGAATTGGCTCTACGTCCTAATACTATACTGTACAAGTTTAAAATTAGTTCAGCATGTATATAAACAACGATGTATGTAAACAGTTCAGCATGCATATAGATAACGCAGGTATAGTGAACATAGACCGCGCAGTTTTACAAATATGTACCTATTCAAGTAGGTTACAAAACAATGGAAAACACAAATGGAGTAGGACCTAAAGGTAGCCAACAAAGCTATCAGATGCTAATTTTTAGTGGATTCCTTGGCAATACTTGTACAACATTCTATGATTCGTAATATACGAGATCACTCTCTTCGTGTGGTGTGGACTCATCAGCTGTGCATGTTTTAATTTTAGCTTTGAATTGTTTGATAACATAATCAGAAGCTTATTCACATTCAATGCTGTCCTTAAGGACAGAGAGTTTGGCCAATTCATTTCTTGGAGAGGAAGGAGGGAAGGCTTGCATCATATGTATCTATCTTTCAGGGAGGAGAGGTTAGTTTAGTTTAACAAATTTATTGGCAAAGCTTGTAGTACAGTTTGCCTATTCTGAGTAATTCAGTCAGGTCTTGACACTGAGGGTGGTATCACTTCTCACTGCCACGCAGGACAGAGGTTCATACACATAGAAATACATCATATTCATTAACAGCTATATATATGTATAGAGGTCAGATTCATGTGGGTAATGTCAATGTTCACTGCCATGCAGGACAGAGGTTCGTACACAAAGAGATGCATCATATTCATTGACAGTACATATACATATATATACACACGCACATACACATATATATATATACATATACATATATACATATACATACATATACATATATATACACATATACATACATACATACATACATACACATACACACACATACATACATATACGTAGGTCAGATTCATGTGGGTAATGTCACTCTTCACTGCCATACAGGACAGAGGTTCGTACACAAAGAATGCATCATATTCATTGACACTATATATAGGTCAGATTCATGTGGGTAATGCCACTGTTCACTGCCATGCAGGACAGAGGTTCGTACACAAAGAAGGAAATACATCATATTCATTAGCAGTATATATAGGTCAGTGGATCACATACATTGGAGTCATATTCTAATTGAAGACTAATCAGTGTGGGCTAGTAAATTTGGGATGACTGAAGTCGGGCGCGTTTATGACGTTCACGGAGGTTGTTCACCACCATGTCAGTCCCAATTTCCATAATACAGTACAACTGAAATTGTGATGTTTGCTTACGAACAAGTCTTGTTGGGGATTATTACTTAACATCTTATACCAATCATGTTGACGGTTATGGTTATACACGGGCAATGCCTGATTCTTTCACTGTTCAACGAGAGAGCGAGCCGGCAGGGTGACCTTGAACATAAAATAATGACACTTTTTAACAGTTTAGATAAAGTGCGATAAAATAATGAGTTGCGTCTCACCATCTTCTGTTATCGGGATGTTACCTGGAGGGAGGTGAAGGAAAGGGGAGTAAGGAGACAAATATGGAGAGGAAGAGAGCAAAGGAGAGGAGGATGGATAGTTCCAGGGCAAAGAAGGATTGTTATATTTGTCTTGAAGCTCCGTCACTAAATACTACAACTATTATTAGTTTGTGTCACTTACGACATGACACACAACTGCAGGTCTCAGTTCAACACTACAAGACTCATAATAGTAAAATTAAAACATAACAACACAAAGACACAGGGTAAGGTACTGAATGGAGTTAATGAAAAAAGGTAAAATTAATTGGACTGTATCAAGCTTAGCATAATTACACGATAAGACAAAAACGATGTAAAACCAGATGCTGAAAACAAAATTGGAAAGCTAGACGTTATATCTTTGTTAACACCTGACAAAGGAAAAAGGAAACCCGGTTTTGCTGCTCAATATTAAATAATGATTTATTATGCGTATAGGTGAACATGATCCTTATCCGTAAGTGGTGCTTCTACGCAGGTGTGGCAGTAACAAAACGTGTCCGCCTCATAATCATAGCTTTGTGTCCAGGGAACAAAATCTATTACAAGTAGGTGGACGAGGAGTGAGGACTATCGAGATAATCAGAGCCTCTCTCATTGGTTGGTTACTCTCCCTGGGACCTCTTTCATTGGTTGGGAAGGCCAGTGGGCGGTGCCCTAGTGAGGGAGGTTAAGTTCAAGGGTCGAAGAGCATCCTGACTCACTCACGGACGGGGATGAGAGGGAGGGTGAGGGGCAGGGAGGAGGAAACTATGGACGCGTGTCATCAGTGCCATCTTACTACCCCCACTGCCTTACTAATGATGATCTCGTGTATACTGAAACATGTCACAGATATACAATACTGTATATTACTATTCTCGCTAGTCATTACGAAATTTTTGCGCAGAGAAAAACTGTCGTCTTGAAATAATAATGATCTAAATTTTGACAATATCGCCGTACACTAAAATAAAATGAATAACATGGTAACTTACGTTACATGTGCACAACACCCCCTCCATCCCGCGGGATTACTAGTGGTATATAAGAGGGGTAGAGGGTCGTGATGCCTTAGTGAGTACTATCATTCTGCCCCGACAGTCACCACCACTGCTATACCATCGCTGCTACTATGGCCGTCGCCGGAACGTACCTCCTGAGCTCCAACGTACAGTACTCTGAATGGCTGAGCAGTCTCGGTAAGTCACGATTGATACCTAACGATCCTCTTGTACTTTCTTAAAAATATTAATAACACGAGCGAAATATATTTACACCTATTTAATATGATTATACTATATGATAAATTTGTAAGGGAAAGACATAGCGGAAGGGATACACAATGCTCAGTAAAACACACTGTGTTAAACGACATGTCCTCCTTCAGGTATCCCAGCTGACAGCGTCGCCAAGATGGTTGCCGCTAAGCCTAAGGTGGAGATAACTCAGAGTGGCAATGACTTGGTGGTTAAGACAACGGTGGGGGAGAAGAACTTCACCAACACCATCACCGTCGGCAAGGAGTCCAAGGCTACACTCCCAGGCGGCGTCGAGTACACTGTTAGTATACTGGCACAAGTCCTCACTCAACCGCCTTAACATTTTTGTATATACCGTATTGTACTTTACAAATGTAGGTCTTCGCCAGAAAGAAGTGCCCTCACACCTCAAATGACCACAGGTACACATTGGTGGCAGCGATGGTTGGGAAGGTAGTGATGGTGGTGAGGAGGTAGTGGTGGTGAGGAGGTAGTGGTGGTGGGGAGGTAGTGGTGGTGATAGGGGAGGTAGTAATGGTGGTGGGGGTAGTGGTGGTGGTTTTATAATTATCGTGGGTATGGAGTGAAGATAGCAAAGGAGGTCACAGGGAAGGAGTGAGGAAAAGTCAAATATTGAATAGCGTTATTACCGCCTGACACATCACGTCGTGTCCACAAAAGAAGCTTCTTTACATTTGAATTAAAAAAAAAATTCATTGAATCATTCACATCTTGGGGGATGTATAATGATGTTCCTCCCACCACACCTACCTCCCCACCACCAACCACTACCTTC